ATAATACTCTAGCAATTTGCTATGTCAGTGTGCTGAACTAAAGCGCCTCCCCCTCGCTGTTATCTCCAGGGCCGCGATAAGATAAGGGGGGCGCTGTCCCGTGCCAGGTTAATGGAAATAATGAATATTTCATTGGTCACAACACTTTCGTGTCTTGAAAATGTTAGCAGATCAGCTAATATGTTTTTCTGCCCCAAATTGATCTGGATTTCTGTCTGCAAATGTACTGTTTGTAATAAGTTGAGGTTGTTTGCATTACCGTGCGTGTGATCAGCCATATACCTGCTCAATCCTCGCTTCCAGTCAGCTTTCATTAACTCTCTACTGTAGTTACAAGTTAAGTTATTTATCCAACTAAGCATCAGCTACTAGTTCGTTTACGACAGCCGTCGAAGCGTCGATAAATCCTATACGTTTAATGATCACAAATTTCAGTTTTTAGACTCTCCTGAAAACATGAACTTTCTGATTGTAAACCTATCTCCTCCCATGATTTTCAAGCTACGGCATTAAGAGATATACCATTCGTTTCGTAAGAAAAATCTCATATAGATCATTAAGTTTTTGTTTCGGTATCTTTTTTGTTTGATTATACATTGAAAAAAGGATGTAGGAGTAAAAAAAAAACAGAAAAATTAAAAATGAACTACAAAATCGAAAAAAATGAACGAATAAACTTTAGATATGCTCTTTACGCATCGAATTATATGTCTCTCGATGTTGTAGCTTGAAAATCCAACGAGGAGATAGATTTTTACAGTAGACTTTTTTTCTGCCGTTTTCTATGAATTTTATGTTCTTTTTCATTTTTGAAAAATTACGTGAACAAGAAAGTCATTGATTTTTATTTTACATGAGTGTACCAAGGTTCATATAATGATCCGTCCCCAAATAAAAATTTTTTGACCGACATGCTCCTCTTAAGCTGCTTCAAAGGATCATTGCAATTTTAATTTGAATAATAATTTATATATGGTTAATATATAAATCATATTAATCTATACAGTTAATCTTAAACTTATCGAAAAACAGCCGCCAAACATCAGATAAGAACATGCAGACCAAGCCTCGCAGGATACAAGATCGTGAGATAGGATCTGAGATTAAGGAAAATATAGCAGTTTTTTCAATACAAATAAGATTATTATCAAGTGACCCAGTTCGAAATTCTCGCAGTCATTGCGGCCGTTCGCCGCAGAGACGTTCGCAAACGCGCAAATCTAGGCCGTTGTTGCCGACTTCACCTCGCGCCCAAGCAGTCTAGCGAAGATATGGCCTCATCTGCAACGAACTGCGCGAGGCCTCGGTCGGCAAAAGCTGCGGCAGGCAACTGGCCGCACCTCTGCCGCGGCCTACGTCGAATATGCCGGCGGTAACGGTTCAAGCTTTGACGAGGCAAGGAGAGGAAGGGGTATGAAGGGTGATGAAGGCGGAGTAATATTGAAAGAACTTTCTAGGCATGCATCTCAATATGAAGCTTTTACCGGAAGAAACTGACTGAATTATTCACTTATTTAATTTCTCTAAAATTATGAGGTTTACATGATTTTTTATTTTCTACATTTTTTTCGACAGTTCTATTCTATTCTATACTACAGCGAATCCATGTCGCCAGTATTTGTGGAACTAGTTCCATCCGGTATTGTGTGTATTCAGTTTATTGACATAAATTCGATGAAAAACGTGAAATCGGTATATAATCTGAAAGTAAATATAATATAAATTTACAAAATAATAGAAATACTAAACGAGCTAAACAGTAACTGCCAGGCTACTGCGCATGCGCGACAGCGTACACTGCAGCGGAGCAGCGCATGCGCAGTAGTCTAACTAGTCTCTGCTCTATACAGTGGTGTGGCCGGGAAGTACCTAGAATGTGCGTGTGGTGCAGTGCACACGACCCGAATTCGGTTAATTTTGGATAAATATTGGAGGTAAGGAACAGATAAAACGTCAAAATTTATTGTATTTACATTTTCATCCTGTTTAAGATCTTATGCGCAACTATCAAGGCTAAATTTTGGTTACTGCAACTTTGCAAGTCATGAAACATTGCTTCTCGTTCAAGGATTATTTCATCTCCAACCTAACTTACTGTATTGCTATCGAAAGGAACGCTTGCCTATTGAATCCGTTGTCAATCCACTCATTTCTAGTTAAACGTTATGATTATGATCTGAAATGAACTTTTTGTCTCGGAGTTATGTATAAATGTGCCACCGGAAAAATTTCGAGAAGCATACTTTTTTTCTATATTAAATTAGCTGATATTTTTAAACTAATCGAGATGACAGAGTCAGTTAAACTTAGCACGTCTGTAAGCTCGTATTACTGGTCACAGGTTCACTAATCAAAACTGATGGAATCCATTTTGTTGCAGGCAAATGTTGAATGCAGCTAAACCCGACAATAACTTTGCCCGCTAAGCAGTCGAGGCCCGAGAGGAATCGGGTGAACAGTCTCTCAAGTTTCACGGCATTGCCTGCATCGATGTCGGGTGCAGGAGGGACCTGATATGCTGTCAAATTTCTGCTTATTGCACCACACGATGATTGTTAATAAAGGTGAGAAATCAAATGGACGCCTAAGTTTGCATCTCTACTTCATGATGAAGGGACTTTTTCCTAGTTGCGCTGCGTGCAGCATGGCGGATGCTGTCCCATACTCCCATTGTCACATGACCTAACTAAGGTGCTTGCTCGTACATGTTCAAAGACGACGCTATCTTCAAGGCACTAACTATACAGATGTCAGAGAACGATGCATCGCAGGTAGCATTTGCCAGGCACAAGTTGTACAAAAGATACAAAAGGAATATTTTTTAGGGCAAATGCCGAGATATTTGTCAATTTATAACCGGCATTACTGGAGGTTTTTTCTATTTCTTAGTATTATTTGAACTTTTTGATCGAAGTTCTTACATAAATTTGAGGTATGAATCTCCTTCATGTACCAAATGTATTCATAGAAAATATCTTCATGTCATCTATTTGCATAGAAGTGTTTTCTTACTTAACTTCTATCCAGGAAACAAGCTGATACACTTTTATTCTTCAGGGGAGTCTAGCCAACTGCTGTGCCTAGTCTACGTGTCCAGATGTGTCGACGTTTACCTCAGCATGCAGTGGAAAGCCGCCGCGAAAACTTCGCGCTTAAAACCAGAGCTTGTTCAGTGAAACTTGCTGGATTAACGGAAACAGCCACAACGCATCAGCGACCCAATCAGAAAACATTCCAAGTTATCATGGTGTGTCATGCGCGCAGTTGCTTTAGTATGGTGATTTTGTGTACTATTTCCCCTTGAAATTAACTTGTCAACTATTATCAATTTCCGTTCTGAGATGATGAGTTTCATGCATGGAGTACTGAAGTACTTATTTTAGAAATTTCAAACTAGTTTAGAGTTCCACTTCACGTATTTGACTACTGATTACTAAGTTAGATTCTCAAGTATTGTGGTGCTTATCATTTACAATTTATACGAGATGATGTTATCCTTTAGCTGACGCCGTTGTAAAAACCAGGAATAAGCTTGTATGTATATTTTGAAAATAATGAAGGGGCTACATTATCGTACGTAAGCGTGTATTGTTCTAAAATATAGTTATAGCAGTTTTGAAATAGATTTCTTAATTTATGTTTGTCGACTGCTTAAACTCCATGTGTAAGGCTTTACGTTTTACTCAAAAAATGTTTTTGTAGTTTGAATGTTTATATGCACTTGAGGTTCTAATAAACGGCCCGAACATGTAAATCTTTTTATTTCTGTCATAATTTGTTATACTTGTTCCTACTTCATATCTCAGAATGGCTGCATTAAAATTCGCTTTATAATTTTGTATGTGTTCGTTGTTACATAATTCCCCATGCCCTCCACAATTATTATATATAGCTCCACAAAGTAGGGGAGCTATGTATATATAGTAGAGGGCGTAGGGATTTTTTTTTTTGGCTCGAAATTTACGTTCGGCCACCTCTGGCCTGCGGGAATTTTGCGCAACGGTCCCGCCAATCGCGGCAACCACCTTCGCGATAGCGCGGAAGCTGGCAGTGCCTGCCGGCCTGGTCGCTCGCGGTAGGACAGACTGACTGCGGCAGCAGGCCCTTTCCAGGCCGAGAAGCGCTGCCACAATATTGCGCTGCTGTGGACATTCCTGCGCTGTTGACCACCCTGGCGTTGCGCTGGGGCGAGCGTTGGCGCAGGCAAGTTCACCCGCGGCTGGCTTCCAGACTGCGGCGATTTCTGACTGGGGAGTTGTTGCATGTCAACCACCAGGAAAATATAGCAGATTTTTTAATATAAATAAGATTAATATCAAGTGAGTTGTGACATGTCAACTACCATGATAGATAATAATGAGTCATTTCCGAGCCCCGCCACGATGTCTTTTACCTGCAGCGCCTGAACTGCGCGGCGAGATAAGCAAGACTCCGCTTATCAGGCCGGGGAAGATAACGAGTATCAACGCCTGCAGCTACGCACCTTCCGTTGCACGTGTGGTGTTTTAATTAAAACGTCCATACCTCTAAAGCAAGCGTTGCATTCAGCTTTGTATTATTCGCAACTTTCATAATTTCCATCATTTACATAGTTTCCTGTAGGAAATTTGTAAAATTAATTCTTTTTCTATTGTGGAAGGAAATGATGGAAATGTTTGAAGAATATTCGAAATGCTGTCAAATTGTAATTAAGTTTTCTCTACTGAAGTTCGATAAGTGATGATATGACTTTGTAAGTAAATAATTCGACCCAAGCACTCATTCCACTATCGAGCTTCTCAAGAGACAAAATTTTATAACAGAAATTGTTTTTCTCTTCTTCGGCGCGGCGATTTAGCTGCCGTCAAAGATTTCGGTATCCAGAATAAATATGTTTGGGCGCTTTCGAGAATTCAAAATTCGTACATAAATGAAAATCAGAATTTTGTTTATGCGTAAAGTGACTTTGATCCTCAAACTTTTGAATTGTTCAGCTAATATTCTAAAATTTTAATTAAACCTGAGGAATTTTATCGTCTGAATTTCTTGCCACAAACGCAGCTATATATTTATAGTCGCCAAGCCCCGCCACGCCGTTATCAGCGCCGCGTGTCCTTCATCAGAGATAGCGCAGCAAGAGGCGCCTGACTTGCGATCTTTCCATGAACGCGTACCAGTAAATTAATTTATTCATTTGCGAAGTTAATGAATTTATGAAGAACAGGATGTGAAAGAAAAGCAATGAATTAATGAAGCCTTACAGAAAGATCCACTTAATGACTTATTTGGTTCAGACTCGTCCCAGGCATCCTCCTCAGTACCATCTTCCGCGTCTGTTGGTGCACGAGCCAAAGATCACAATTCTGCTATTGGAAGTGTCTATGAGTTGAGAATCAAATTATTTCAGTGTCATGTGGCAAGGGTTTTTTAGTAGTGCAAATCTAATGTGTGTTTCACATTTCGTGTGTATGAAGCCTAACATAGTTTGTACTCGTATATAGCGGCTTTGATTGATCAAATTGTCGACATGATACACGAGCGAGTGGATTACCGAGGTCGGGGGCTACGGTGGCTATACCGGTATGCGCCGTTATCTGCTGCCCTGATAGCCGTTATCTGCGACGCCCTCAGCTGCGCGACTTGATCACAAATTTCACAAGTGTCAGTTCAGTCGTTTATGAATTCAATTTGGTTCCGATAACTGCGAAAATTTGACTCGAAATTTCCCTCCTAACATCGACCGTAACCGTAACTGAAACATATAATGTAACTGTTTTTGATGTAGCTCCACGTTAACTCGTGCAAAAATTACTCAATCTTGAACCGATCTTCTTAACATAGCTCCTGCACTTTGCACAGCTTCTGCATTTTGCATAGCTTCTGCACTCTACACAGCTTCTGCACTTCACACAGTTTATGCACTCTTTTGCACGGCTATAATATGCCGTTGATGAGCGCATGCAGTCTAGTGCGGATTGATGAGGTTGAACGTGGCCGGTGAAATTCACACGGTAATGATTTAATATCAAGTCTTTAAAACATGATTTATTACTCACCCTTTGGGAGAGTCAGTATGTTTTGTTTATTGCATAGATTTAGCATCTGTATCATTAATGTTCACTTGATTCAGCAACAGCGAAATTCGAAGCCATTCCATTTATTCATATTATAATCAAGGCTATCATGGGTTCAACCAATTCTCTCGTTAACTTCAAAATCGTTTGTATCAATTTAAATCATTTGTACCAGTTTAAAAGTTACAATAAAGCAAGTTATACGACTGTCGTCTCATGCACGAGCTGTCGTGTATGCTCGTTTTCTTCATCGCCCTCCATGGTGCCGGCAAGTCTCGAAGCGACAGCCGCGCTAAATACTATGCATTATTCAGTCAATGTGGTCTATTTTGAATGAATCATATGAAACTACAATCATTTACGTGGCTTTCTTGACTAAATCAGTGGCATTTTTGTTGATATTATCATTCAATATTATTGAAAAATCTTTGTAAGATTCCTAAGCCAATGGAAAACTGGCTGATGTATAACATTTTTCACACTTAGGTTTTCTGCACCCGTACTTTTACAACACATTTTTTATGACATGGGTTTTCATTTTTTCGCATTTCACACGAAATTCGTTTTTCATAAACTTTTAACCAGGACAAACTTGATGCACATAACTCCTAATGGCATCGACGATAACAACATATGGTTTATGGAACGTCAAGCTTTATAAGTTTAGGTCAATATTGACTTATTAAATATAAGGTTGACCAGAGACCGGTAGGTTATATGGTAATAAAAGTATTAGTATCCAACACTGTCCACGAAAACTAGCTCATAATTACTCAAGCGACATTTCAATAGACGCGAACTGGACGCGATGCGCGCGGTTTGAAAGGGGGATACTCAGCTTGAAGAACTCCGTCAATTTAGAGTCAAACTCAAATTAATTGACAACTTACTTCATTTTACAGACTGACAACTTACTGCACTTACTTTATTTGTACAATCGAGCCATGAGTCTAAATTCATTGAAAATATGCCACTTTGAAACTGCAAAATTTTAATAATTAGTAGGAAAATTTGGCACTGAATAAAACACGGACCGGTACGCCAGAACCGGACCAAATTACTAAAACTCGGACCCAGGCCGCTCTGCCGGACCAAGTTCACAAAAGATTAGAGGCTGCAAATCATCTGAAACGTTGATAAAATTTGAAATTGTACATATATAGCAAATTTTCAAATTTACTAAGAAAAAATTTCGTCTGACCAGTACATCAGGCCGCAGAAAAGTGCATTTTTCGATGGAACTTATCGATAGAGATTGTTCCGAAGCGTCCAGAAAACATAAAATGTTTGTTTAGAATTTTTCTCAATTTAATTTTAAAAGTTTCACCCCGGACAATGGGGTGTCAATGTCTGTTTATTGGCGGTTACGATCGAGCAGCGTCGAGTACGTTTTCAAATCGGTGACGAAGAAATTTAATTCTTCAATACATTTCGACTATTGAATACATTTCCCACTTATCAAATTTTTGTGATTGGTTTTCGTAGTATCTGTGATTCGCCACTTGTTTTGAATTTCGAGGTGCAACGACATTTAGGATTTAGGTTTCCTATGGGTACCGACGCAGAACTTGCAACCAATTTCTTATAAATTACGCTTGAAGCGCCCGCTTCCTCTCTTATTTTCTTCAAAGTTGAGGGTGTTGTTCGGAAAAATTCTCGCTCGCATTTCTTTCTACATAATATTAACATGCAGCATCTCATGGGCGCAAAAGTCATCTTTACCAAGGTAGTGAATGAGCACATAACCTCGCTCATCTCCCAGCAATTCGTGCGAATATCTGCAAAACTGCACTTTTTCCCGTCGTCATGTCTCTGAAAATACCTCACGTTTCGGGAGTTGTTTTATTGCTTGGTTTATCCACCGCATGCCATCAGCAACGAAGTCTTTGGATTTTCCTCCACTCCTCAGAAGGGAAAAACATCGCCATTCTTGGGACTGAAGCGCGGCCATTCTGAAGCAGCGCTTAGTTGAGCATTTGCAATTTATTTTATAATTTGTTCGAGATAGAGCGGTTCCTTTACGTTTGCTTTTTGGCCCGCTGTATCTTTTAGTAAGTTTTTTTTTG